AACAAAGAAAGAAAAAATGATGGATGCTGTGGAGAGTCAGGGGGTTGCCTTGGGTATAGGGAAGGCATAGAGCCCTGAAAGATTAACACCAGGGTGTTTTTGTGGTGGTGGAAAATCTTACTTGGATTGTCACATTGGTTCTATAAATAATAATCAAAGACTACTGCAAACACAAGAAATGGCACAGTCAACACCAGTGAAATTTCAGTGTGTTCTATGGTCAAGTTCATTGGGTAGGCATGGCAAAGGAAAGATGTTTACCACATGGCAACCAGGAAGCAACAAGGAGTGACAGGAAGGAGACACAGCCAAGACATAGCATTCAATGGCATGCTCCCAATGACCCACTATCTCTATGTATACATCACTTCCTAATAGAGTATTTAGAATTTTACTCATTCAGTTAGTTAAACTAGTCAAGCCAGAGCCTTCTCCAAGCAATCTCTGCAAACTCAGAACCAGAGGCAAGTCTTGCAGTTCAACCAAGTGGACAATCACAATGACCATTCACACCTCACCTTCTACCCTGCTATTTCTCTGTGATGAGATTGGTGCTATGCAAGGAAAACAATGTAGATTTTTTAAAGAACCCTAATGTTTCAGGATGGATTCTTAGAGTTAATCTTCCTCTTCATGCTAGTCAGAGTGTGATGGTAGCCTTGTTCATTACTGTCCAGAAGTCATGAAGGAAAACATAAAAGCAAAAGGAAGGGAAGTAGCTGTAGGCACCACCCACCCAGAGGGTACTGTGTATAGGGTGGGCCATGATGTCATTCCCAAGAAAGACCTCAAGTGGGATTACAGTTGTGAGATCCTCAGGAAACAAATCCAAGTATCAAATACTTGGCTGGCTTGTGTAGTTCACTAGGGATTTGGGTCAAATTCTGAAAGAACATTTAGAGCAGTGTTTATCAACCTATGGGTTGGGATCCCTTTGGGGAGTCAAACAACCCTTTCACAGGGTGACATATCAGATATCCTGAATATCAGATATTTATATTATAAATCATTACAGTTATAAAGTAGCAACAAAATAACCTTATGGTTTGGGGGGGGGGTCACCACAACATGAAGAACTGTGTTAAAGGGTCGCAGCATTAGGAAAGCTGAGAACCACTGGTTTAGTGTAAGGCTCAGAATCCAGTTATATTTCTAAACGGATAGAAACTCTTGGAAAATCTACAAATAGAGACCTCAAATCAGCTGGAGGAAGAGGCCTGACGCCCATGGACTGCTTAACCAGCTCCAGACATCAAGAAAAATGAGCACCCTGCAGTAAAGACACCCAAACCCCATAGCCATCTGATCCCTGAGGCCCTTCTGGCAGGGGATTCCCTGTTAACTGCCTTTCATCACTGTGAATAAATTCCCAATAAAAACAATTAAAAAGAAGTATTTATTTGTGTTCATGGCTTTGTCCATTTTGATCTCTGGCTAACTGGCCCACAGTTTCTCAGCCATGAAAGGTACCATGGTGGACAGGGGTGGAGGACCAAGGCTGCTCACCTCGAAGTAACCAGTAAGCAGGGAAGGAAATTTGAAAAAGCTTGTCCACATTGATGTGATCCTGAAGTCACAATTGACTCAGTGATCCTTCCCACACAGATGACATGTGCTGTGGTCAGGACAGACTATTAGAAGAAAAAGAATGTGAGATCAAGTCTTAGAACTGAGCATTGGGGAGTTTGTATTTCTGCGGCTGAGCACACCAAAGTCTAGGCAGATAGCCAGTGATTCGACAAGAAGATAGAAACCAGAGTCTAAAAGAGAAGGGGCTAGAGTGGCCTAGAGAGTGGGAAGTGGGACTGAGACACGGTGGGTATGAACAGGAAGTGCTGTAAGGAAATAAGCAACGAGAAGGCAGGGAAACAACTGGGGCGCGGCAAACAGGAGAAAGTCAGAGTGAGCGTTCTGGACACGGAGAAGACACTGTGGTCCACCACATCCCTCTCCACAGGGCAATAGCTTATGGCACCCAGCCCTTTCTAGTCTCATCACTACTGACTCACCCTTGTGCCTTCCAGGCAGAGACTTCTGGGTGACAGCAGTTGGTGCTGATTGTGGTGATGCTACTGATGTTGAGAATAGTGGGGATCACCACAAAGCGTATGGAGCTCGTGCAAAGTGTCCCGTCCTCCAAGGGGACAGGATGACCTGAAGACCCAATGCAATTACAATGAATCTCCATATTCTTTGGCTGAGACGGTGGTTGACTGAGGAATGGGGGAGGGGTGAAGCTATATTGAGTAAGAAGTCAAACAATTTGTAGCGTGGTGACATGAAACAGTTTGGTGTCATGAGGCTATGGGCCTCAGATTCCTCTCAAGGGGTGCCGGATAAGATGAAGAATCAGGCCAGGCTTGGTGGCACACATCTTTAATTCTAGCACTTGGGAGGCAGAGGCAGGTGAATATCTGAATTGGAGACCAGACTGGCATACAAGGCGAGCTCCCAGATGTCTTCAAAAAACAAAACCCAAAAAGACAAAAAAAAAAAAAAAAAAAAAAAAAAAAAAAAAAAAAAAGGTATAGCCTTGTAAAGGAAGTGTGTCACCGGAAATGGGCTTTATTTCTAGATCACTCTCTGCTTCAGGCTTGCAGGTCAGGATGTGAACCCTCAACTTCTGCGACCATGCATACTACATGCGGCCAGGATTCCCCAGCATGACTATCTCTGGAACCATAAGTCCAAATGAACTATTCTTTGGGTTGCCTTAGTCATGGTGTTTTTTTTATCACAATAGGGAAATAACTAATACAGAACAATGTGAAGCCAAGGGGATCAGGAAGCCTGGAGGCCGGCCACATGGGTCACAGGGAAGGGTTTATATGCTGAGCAGGTTAATAGTGACATTCACCAGAGACAAAAGCATCTGCTCTTGCCTCAGCTGACA